GAGTTCGGCTAAGCGGATGAGGGTGTCAGTGGAGGGTGACTGGTCGGGCCTGCGGGACAGGAAGAAGCGGAGGGCCTTTAGGTCATCTAAATGGGGAATGCAGGTGTATGGGGACTGGACTGGAAGTTCTGGAGGAGATGGAGGGCGTGGGTGGTGTCACGGACGTAGGTAGGGAGTTCCTGGTTAAGTGAACTGGTTAACTTTAAAGCATTTAGGGGATGTTGGACCCAATAAACACCTACTAGATTGGTAGAAATGTATTGTTTGGTTGTTTTATGCTGTGAAAACCAGTAAAACAACACAGTTGACTATTCTGCATTTTTCGATAGAAATTGTATGTGACTCTTTGGAAAAAAAACTATGCAATGAGCAGGGGAAATATGTGCCTACTGTTGCCATAAGCTAAAGAGGTGCCAGTGCAGAATCCATCAAGAAAATATTTTGTACTATGATAAACTGAATTACGGATGCTTGTAAGCAAATTGCTAAACGGATGAAAAGAAAATGAAACAGCAAGTAAATCAGCTCTTTGTATTTTGGAGCGATTCCAAACATAAAGCTTGCCAGTGAGATAGCAAATTCTGCTGAATGAAAACATTTTCTGTTTATTGTGAATTCATTAAAGCTGAATAAGCATCTGCCGATCATGAGATGCATCTTAATTTCAGGGCCTTGCTGCACAACCATGGAATGCTTTCCAATTGTGTGCAACTAATGGTTTGTTTGCCACTGCAATGGTAAAAGGAATTAAACTGTGATGCACAAAAAAAGATGATATCATTCAAAGGATTAGGCTGCATTGCCAAAGTTGACAAGAGGCTTCCTCTCATTAGGTTCATTGTCCTTTTTGAGAGCAGACATCCTGGAAATCGGACACAGAATTGCATGAGGCTGCCTGTCAGCACTGATTAGATCTCCTGTTTTGAGAACTTTATTTCAAAATTTCACCACATCTAGTGTGTGGTTGTACTTTACTTGACATTATTTGCAATTTTATATTCTGTCTGATAGAGTAAGTAATCATAAATTGGCAACCTGTTCTATATCTCTCTCGATTTCCAATTCCACTGACTTTAATTTCTACTGGAAAAGAAAATGGAGGATGGTGTAAAATTCACTAGGAACCCATTTTGAACTATTCATGCAAAACAATTTAATCCACAATAATCCTCCCTTTAGGCAAAGTGAAAGACACCATAAAGTAGAAACAAGTAACAATTAAACTCTGACAGTGATTTGCAACATGAACGTATTTTCAGCCAAATTATTATTTATTACGTAGGACACTGACGAGAACAATACAATTTAGTGCTAACTCATTTACTAGTTGTTATCCTTAGTTTTTTCTTACTTTAGGGATTCTTTTCTAGCCATGTTCATTCCACTTTTTTTGTTTGTTTTCTATTTTCCATTAATGTAAGCAGCTATTTTCTATTAGGGTTATTCTTGCTGTTCGAGTTAAATTGTTTGGAGTCTGGTCTGCCAACGTTAACCTGGTCTCCTACATGACTGCATAAGAGTTTCTGGGCCAACTTTGTTATTCAGCTGGAAGTAAGATTATATGCGGAGAAAGTATTGAAAGACCTCCTCCTAATTATTTGACATTTCCTCACTACTGGCACTTACTGACCAAAGCACTAAGCACCAGACATGGCTGGTGATACCAAGGAACTATTGCCATCTTTTTCACTTGTTTACATGTATCATTCTACTGGTAAAGAAAGACAATCCCACTCCAGACTACCCCATCTAGACAGTGGCCACAACATTGTTGGAACTTTGAACCGTGCCTGAAATGGTATTATCCGACATGATTGTAATACACTGCGTGTGATTTCCCTTTTTGATTTGATTTATTGCTGCCACATGTACTGAGATACAGTGAGGTACAAGGGGAGGCGATGGTCTAATGGTATCATTGCTGGACTGTTAATTCAGGAGCCAGATAACATTCTGAGGACCCAGGTTCAAATCCTGCCATAGCAGATGGTGGAATTTGAATTCAATAAAATATCTGGAATTAAGAATCTAATGATGACCAAAAATCCATTGTCAATTGTCAGGAAAAAAACGATCTGGTTCACTAATGTCCTTTAGGGAAGGAAGCTGCCATCCTTACCTGGTCTGGCCTACATGTGACTCCAGACCCACAACAATGCAGCTGACTGAACTGCCCTCTGCGCAATTAGGGATGGGAAATAAATGCTGCCTGGTCAGCGATGCCCTCATCTTATTAATGAATTTTAAAAAAGTGATGTCTTAGAGATAGCAAGAACTGCAGATGCTGGAATCAGAGATAACAAAGTGTGGAGCTGGAGGAACACAGCAGGCCTGAAAGCATCAGAAGAACAGGAAAGCTGACATTCCTGAAGAAGCTGAAGAAGGGTCCCGACCCGAAACGTCAGCTTTCCTGTTACCTCTAAAACATTGCCTTACATGCTTTTTACAGGAAAATCATACTGTATGAGTGCATCAGGGTAATAGAACAGAGTGCAAACACAATACACAAGATGCAGATAGAGATCAACATTAACATTAAAGAGGTCTATTCAAAATTCTCTGTTCTCCTCAATACTACACTCTGACAGAATTTTCCTCTGAATTGAAAGGTTTGTTATGGGTTTAAGTCCTGGTTGAGAGATTTGAAAACAAAATCTAGGTTGAAACTTCAGGGTTGCAACTTTTAGATTGTGATGCCTGCCCTTTCAGGTGGGTGTAAAAGATACTGAAGCACTCTTCAAAGAAAAGCAAGGAAGTGCTGCCAATATCACTGTGATGTTGGCTGACTGGTTCAAACAGGATGTCATGCTACTGTTGGGATGATATCATTCTTGATGTGTATTCTGATTGTCCTGACTGTATCAGTTTTACTTTCAAGCCTGTTTTCCTTGCAAGTTTAGTAATTATAAAAATCCAAAATAATTCTTTCCTCTTTTTTAAATTATACTTTTCTCCTTTTACAAGCTGGGGGGAAAAAAACAGTTGATTCCATGTGAAACAGGCTTCACTATCCATTTTCCTGCAAGTGGACAGTGAGGATGGTTACCTCAGAGTACAACGGGATCTTGATCAGATGGGCCGATTGGCCAAGGAGTGGCAGATGGCGTATAATTTAGATAAATGTGAGGTGCTACACTTTGGAAAGGCAAATCAGGGCAGCACTTATACACTTAATGGTAAGGTCCTGGGCAGTGTTGCTGAACAGAGAGACCTTGGAATGCAGGTTCATAGTTCTTTGAAACTGGAGTCACAGGTAGATAGGATAGTGAAGAAGGCATTTGGTATGCTTGCCTTTATTGGTCAGTGCATCGAGTATAGGAGTTGGGGAGTCATGTTGCAGCTGTACAGGACATTTGTTAGGCCACTTTTGCAGTACTGTGTGCATTTCTGGTCTTCTTGCTATAAGAAGGATGATATGAAACTTGAAAGGATTCAGAAAAAATTTACAACGATGTTGCCAGGGTTGGAGGGTTTGAGGTATAGGGAGAGGCTGAGTGGGCTGGGGCTATTTTCCCTGGAGCGTCGGAGGCTGAGAGGTGACCTTATAGAGCTTTATAAAATCATGAGGGGCATGGAAGGGTAAATAGACAAGTTCTTTTCTCCAGGGCGGGGAAGTCCAAAACTAGAGAGCGTAGGTTTAAGGTGAGAGGGGAAAAACTTAAAAGGAACCTAAAGGGGTAACATTTTCAGGCAGAAGGTGGTGCGTGTATGGAATGAGCTGCCAGGGGAAGTGGTGGAGGCTGGTACAATAACAACATTTAAAAGGCATTTGGATGGGTATATGAACAGGAAGGGTTTAGAGGGATATGGGCCAAATGCTGGCAAATAGGACTAGATTTATTTAGGATATCTGGTCAGCATGGACGAGTTGGACTGAAGGGCCTGTTTATGTGCTGCACATCTATGACTCTATGACTTTAAATCTAATCATTCCATTTTCCAGAGTATCAGAAATTATGAAAAGAATAATTTTTGTACTTGTATGACCAATGTACTAACCTGCGCGGCTCCTTTTTAAAGAGGTAATCATTGTTTTGTATGTGAAGTATTACCACAAATTGTTCAACTTTCCTTTATTTTCTGAACTCTAATTTCCCCTACTGGGTATGTTTCATACGCATCAGAAGATCACTAAAGAAGAACAGCTGAGAACAACCAATCTATACTGCAGCACTGTTCTCTACATTTCTCTCCCTTCCCCCTACAAGTCAGGCACACAAACTGACAGTGGAATATTAATGGATGCATCAACAAAGAAAAGGATCAATATAACATTAAAACTATATCCAAATATAATTAACAAAGCCATTAACATTGGAGAATAGTAGTTGTGACAATTATTATCAAGAATAGTAACAAATTGCAAATCCATTAAAATTTATGGAACTGTGTTAATTTTCAAAAATAATATGAAAATATGTCAGGTTTTTCACTGAAATGAGAAGTGAATGACACTTGGAAGATCTGCATTTAATTGAACAGTTAAGACTTTAATGGGATCCAAAGCAGACTGTATTCTCATGGTATTTATAGAATTCAGCATGCAATTTTATTCAGAACAGAGGCCAAAAGTTTAACGATGGGGCTTACAAACCTCATTGAAATGATCAGTATATGAAATATGTAAGAATAAAGTTAACATTCTATAGAAATATCACTGTAGGCCAGAAATGCGTTAATATAACTGGTGACCCAATCATTTAAAGAAGAACTTGAGGTTTTCAAGCCAAGGCATTACATTGATGCAGGCAACTAGAGACCCTCATTGAGTGAATAGCATTTTCAATCCTTTTTTGGAGGAAAAGAAACCAGGTACTCGTTCTACAGTAACATATACCTCAGTCCTGAGGGTGCTGGAATGTTTGACATGAAACATGTCACTATCTTATCTAAATAAAACTATGTTGTTAAGCTGTAACTTTCATTAACAGTGAAAGCATATATTGGACTGTTTTTTCATGACTCTATATAATGTTATGAATGTCTCTGTTTTTGCTCAGATTGTAAGTGTTGGGAAGCACGTCAGAGGGTACCATTATGTACTAGCCAACTTGGTAAGCACAAGGTTTTTATGTAAATTTTCCAAGTTCAGTTTCTTCAAGCTTAGTTTAGGATTGCCACCCAGTGTTATGGCTTAGATTGGATTACACTCCACCACAGGGTAAGTGGAGGGAGGAGTTCTACAAAGTTAATGAATGCATTTGACATTTATAAATTACTTACTGTCTAGTACAATGTGATTAAGTACTAGGTCAAACATGTTGGAAGTAAAACAAGGAAGGGGAGGATATACTTGATGGGAAACACAGAAGGGTGGAAAAAAAATTAAAGGTTCAAATGCAAAATTTCTTGAGTATGAGTGCAGAAATAACACAGTGTGGAGCTGGAGGAACACAGGAGGCCAGGCAGCTTCAGAGGAGCAGGAAAGTTGACATTTCAGGTTTGGACTCTTTTTCAGAAATGGGGAGAGAAAAAGGGAGTTCAGAAATAAATAGAGAGAGGAGGGGTGGAGCTGGGGAAGGTAGGTGGGATGGTGATAGGTGAGTGCAGGTAGGGAATGGTAGGGATTGGTCAATGAAATGGGAGAGGCAGATAGGTGGGAGAGAAGATGGACACAGGTTGTGTCACGTCAAGAAGGCCAGGATGAGAGGGAGGGTTGGTCATTGGATGAGGCCAGGAGTGGGGAGATTTTGAAACTGGTAAAATCCACATTTACACCATTGGGCTGTAGACTCCCAAGGCAGAATATGAGGTGCTGCTCCTCCACTTTCCAGGCGGCGTCATTGTGACACTGGAGGAGGCCCAGGATGGACATGTTACCCAGGTAACAACTTCTCCTTTAACTCCTCCTACTACCTACGGATTAAGGTGTTGGCCATGGGCACCCACATGGTCCCAAGCTATGCCTCCTTCTTCGTAGGATATGTTGAACAGTCCCTCTTCCACTGCTACACTGGCACTATCCCTCACCTCTTCCTCCGCTTCATTGATGACTGATGACTGTATCGGTGCTGCCTTGTGCTCCCACGAGGAGCTTGAACAGTTCATCAACTTTACTAATACCCTTCACCCCAACCTCAAATTCACCTGGACCATCTCTGATACCTCTGTCTCCTTCCTGGACCTCTCTGTCTCCATCTCTGGTGACCGCCTCGAAACTGACATCTATTTCAAGCCCACCGACTCCCACAGCTACCTAGACTACATCTCCTCTCACCCACCTTCCTGCAAGAATGTGATCCCCTACTCCCAATTCCTCCACCTGCACCGCATCTGCTCCCAAGATAAGGCGTTCCACTCCCGCACATCCCAGATGTCCTCGTATTTCGAGGACCGCAACATCCCCCATTCAGTGGCAGTGGTCAAAAATGCCCTCAACTGCACCTCTTGTGTTTCACAGACTTCTGCCCTCACATCCCTTCCCCCCCAACATAAACAAAGACAGAATCCCCCTTGTCCTCACATACCACCCCACCAACCTCCGTATTCAATGTATCATTCTCCGCCACTTCCGCCACCTACAATCCACAACCAAAGATATATTTCTCTCCCCACTCCTGTCTGCCTTTCAAGGGGATCGCTCTCTCCATGACTCCCTCGTCCGCTCCACACTCTCCACTAGCCCCAGAACCCCCAGCATCTTTCACAGAAAGTGCTACACCTGCCCCTACACCTCCCCCCTCACCTCCATTCAAGGCACAAAACAAACCTTCCACATTAGACAGGGGTTCACCTGCACATCCGTCAACATGGTCTACTGCATTCACTGCTCCTGATGTGGCCTCCTCTACATCGGTGAGACCAAGTGGAGGCTTGGAGACCGTTTTTTACAGCACCTGTGCTCTGTTCATGGCAAATGACGACACCTATTGGTCACAAACCATTTTAACTCCCCCTCCCACTCCCTGGGTGATATGTCCATCCCGGGCCTCTTCCAGTGTCACAATGACGCCACCTGCAAACTGGAGGAACAGCACCTCATATTCCACCTCGGGAGCCTACAGCCCAATGGTCTAAATGTGGATTTTACCAGTTTCAAAATCTCCCCACCCCTGGCCTCATCCCATGACCAACCCTCCCTCTCATCCCCACCTCCTTGACCTGATACAACCTGTCCATCTTCTCTCCCACCTATTCGCTCCTCCCACCTCACTAACCAAACCCCACCATTCCCTACCTGCACTCACTTATCACCAGCCCACCTAGCTTTCCCAGCCCTGCTCCTCCTCTCTCTATTTTTGAGCTCCCTTCTCCGTCCCCATTTCTGAAGAAGGGTCCCGACCTGAAATGTCAACTTTCCTGCTCCTCTTAATGCTGCCTGGCCTGCTGTGTTCCTCCAGCTCCACACTTGTTATCTCTGACTCCAGCATCGGCAGTTCTTACTATCTCTGATTGAGTACAAGTGCAACTAGGTAAAGCCATAAGTATGCCAACAGTTCTTTGGGCTTTCTGAAATAAGGCATAGGGTGATCACAATAATGAATAAACAATAAATTTGTGCAAAACATTAGTTAGTTGACGTTTAAAAAAATTCTGTATAGTTTGGGTGCCCCAGTTTAGAAAGGTAAATAAAGGCAAAGAGAATGCCATTCACAATGATGATGCCAGAATGAGACAAGCTCACTGTGAGAGGCAAATTGAAATACTCGAGACTGTTTCCGTTTGAGCAAAACAAAAGGTTGAGAGTTGATAAGATTTTTTAAAATTCTGGAAAACTTTGACACAGCTAATATAGAAATACTGTATCTTGAACATGGAGTGTGTTATCGCTGATTGTGTCTGAACAAAAAATATTGCATCTTCTAAACAAACATTTGCAAAATGTTTAAGGAGAAAGATTCAAACTGAATGGGAAGGGGGGAAACAGTAGAATTACTCTAAACGAAGAATCAGTGCAGACGCAATGGACCAAGTGACTTTCGGAAACATGTATGGCTTTATTATTTTGTTTATACATTTGAATTAAATATTTCCCTGATTGCTTAGTGGAATAATAGTGATATGTAAGCCACCCAGCCAACAAGATCTTGGATTCAATCCTTTCTATTGATATAGCTGATTTTGACAAGGGCAGAGTTGAGTGCCACTAATATAAAACCTAGAACTATGAATGCTGGAGATCTGAAACTAAAACAGAAATTGCTGGTGAAACTCAGCAGGTCTGGCAGTATCTGTGGGAAGAAAGCAGAGTGAATATTTCGAGTCTGGTGACTCCTAATCAAATTCAGTGTTAACTCTGCTTTCTTCCCACAGATGCTGCCAGACCTGCTGAGTTTCACCAGCAATTTCTGTTTTAGTTTCAGAAATGAGTGCCTAGAGGTGCTCTCGAGGAGGGGAAGTGGTCCAGGGTTCCCATTCCTGGCTGTTATCTAGCAAATCCCTACTGTGAGATCACATTGATGACAGGATCAGTCCAAAAGGATGTGAGGGTTGTTCTCCTGGAAAAACTGAAAACATTTTAAAATTCTTGCATTCTGTACTGGAAAATAACCATATTTCAGGTCTTCAAAAGGATCAAAACTTAATGCTACAAAGGCTAATCCAGGCACTGGTCTGAAAGGAGCTTATGAGCAAGAATTTCATTAGCTCAGTTAATCAAGTGGCTGATGGAAACATTTTATTGAAAAATACTCACTGATTAATGGCATGCTTTTCAAACCATAGGACTGATGAGAAGAGATGAATCGAACCCTAACTACATGATGATTGCTAATGTGATTGCAGGGATTCAAGGATATATCACTGGATAGATTTATGCATGGAGGAGCAAATGTAACAGGATTCCAAATCGTGGATTACAACAGACCCGTTGTTGCTAAATTCATGCAGCGTTGGAAGAAGTTGGATCAGAGGGAGTTTCCTGGAACAGACAATGCTCAGTTGAAGGTAACATTTTGACATCTTGTATGACAGCAATGAAAATAGTCATTTTGAAGTCTAGAAATATTAATTCATTATCATTGATCATCTTGATATGGTTTTGTTCTAGCTGGTTTTATCCTTTTTTATTTCAAATGGATTAAAGATTATACTAAAATAGAACAGAGGAATATGATGCGCATGCATTAAATGTTGATCCACTTAATGAAACAGTAAATTCTAGGCAGTAATGACTGTAAAATTATTCACTAATTGCATTTTTTCAACTACTGCAGTTGAAGAACAGATTAAAAACAGATGAAAGATGTAAAATATCAAAACTGATCCCTATGATATACTTTCACCAGTCCTGTGACTAACTTTATTGAAGAAAATCGCAAAGAAGTCTTTCCACTTGAACAGAAATTTGCTTATAAAATTGGACAGGCCACTAAAATGGGTACAGGAATTGGAAATTCCCCAAGTCAGTTGTTTCCAATGTAGGTCGCACAAAATGTCTGATGCTGACCGAATTAAATGATTGGAGCTCACAGCAAGTATTATCTATGCGGTTGACTGGCTGCACACCTAAGCAGTGGATGCTAGATTGTAAGGGACCAACATCTGCTACGGTTAACCAGCAGCCTTTAAAGGGGAGCTATATTGGATGTCGTGCAAGTGTTCAAAGTTATCCTACAAATTACGCTGACACGTGGGAGAAACAGAAGAACGCCCTCATATTTGTAAAGGGGTATTTGGGTCATGTTTGCTGGATTTGTAGTTGGCTGAGTCACTCATGGACAATCCTGACACAGGAGGACAATGCTTGCCACCCTTTCAGCAACCCTGATTCTTCATATGTTTGCAGTACAGCATGTAGTAAACCAACACTTGGCTTAACATCTGTTTTGCGGAATATTACAAGGTTTGTCCAGTCAGATGCAGGCAAAGAAAGCATTGCTTAAGCACCCCAATGGTTTACTTTCCCATTTTGTGTGACAGCTCGGTTTTATTTACATGAATGCTGTCCTTGTCCGTGTGGGTTGCAAATGAAAATTTGGAAATAAACCATTAAAGGAAAGCTTTTAATGCTTAATGATCGCACAGTGCTTTGGGGTGGTTTGGTGCATTGGCTTCAATGCAGATAGTTGCTGCAGCCTGTCACATAATCAAAACATTGTAATAGTGTCCAGGATGCCCAGTATTGACCTGCAGTTTAAGCTGGGTGAGCTGATCACACACCAGTGGCATGGTGAAGGACAGGAATCCTTTCCAGTTATGATACAACTCAGAGCTGACTTACAAAACAGCATGTTCACACTTAGTGGCACCCTGCGATTGGGAAGCTGGTCATCTTTGTGAAGCAAATGGCAACTTTTCTTGCAAATGAGAATGAAATATGTTCTGCTTGCTCTGTGTAAAGAGCCTCAGTGATGTCTCTTCTGTAATGTTGAATAACAAATTTGGGGATTTTGCAAATAACACCTGCTGCAGCTGGAAAGGATCCATTTGCATACACATTCATGGCCATGATCACTTTTTTTTGTCCAAGCAATAGCGTCCTCACCCAATTTTAGTTGGCGACAGACTTCCATGACGATCTCTTTAGTGAAATGCAGATGTCTGTTACATCGTTCCTCGTTGAGTTTCAGGTTGGAGAATTGTTCCCTGAACACTCTGGATCAATATGGCTTCCTGCTTAGGATCTTTCTCACTGCTACTTTTCCTCTCTCTTCCAACAGCTTATCCCACTTTGTGTCACCTCTTCCCGTTCTCCCTGCCATGCTATAATTCAAGTCAAGCATACATGCAAACTTACTACACCCTTGCTTTAGAGTAAGTAATTTATATCAAATCCTTGAAGACAAAGTCCTTCAACGTAGACTGCAACTACTTCAAACACATCTACAACTGCAGAAAGAGCCAACAGAAATCACAGTGTAAGATTATAAAATAGCCGTAATGGAGTGTAGAGCCTGGTAGACTAGTAACCCTGCTATCAAATCAGCTTTACACATTGATTTAATGTTACAATCTCTCTAATCTACATTCTTGTGATGAGTGCACCTAGCTGTACCAGTGTCCTCTCAGTGGATGCCATTTTAGAAGCAGAGTAGCTCAAAAGAAGTGCTAAAGAGTCAAATTTCAGCCTTCATACTTTATCAGTCCACATTGAATGGCAGTATTCTCGGGTATCGAATTGTTAATCTTGAAAAACACTTTTTTTGCCTTCTGAAAATGTTTCAAGGTTGATTGAATATCAGTTGTTGTTGGTGGATAATTGTGTTTAGAGACCATTTTGAGAAAATGTGCACAGTATGTTCAATATAGGACTTGCTCTCAGGAATGTGAGTTCATGATGAAACAGATTGCACTTGAACTCTGGAAGGAACTGACTTGATGATGCAGATGACTTATTTGTATCCTGTCGTTTCTTGCACTGTGCTATATAAGGCTGCTCAAGAATGCTTTACAAACACTTCTCCAAAAGCAGAATTCTACCAAGTTGTATGCATAAGGAATACTACATAGTCGGAGAAAATAGCATTTTTCTTTTTAAGAAAAAAAGGAATTAAATACAAATTAAAGCTTAATAAATGGTGATGGCAGGTTTTCTTTTATTCCTTCATGGGATTTTGGCATCATTGACCAGGCTAGAGTAGAACACTCCAGCCAAAGCTTCTCTGCTTCTCCAGTTCCCTTTCCCTCTTCTTTCTTTTCTTTCTCGTCTTTTCTGAAGATTTTCTGCCCCAACTTTTAATTTCTTAAACTTACCTGGAGGGAATGGAGAATGGAGCCAAGTCCATAATCTAGCCCTGTGCAGGAGATGAGTCAGAGACCGTGCCAGCGCAGGAGATGTGTCCCAGAGGCAAATCGTGGGCCGGAGCCCAGAGCAGGAAGCAGTCTGAACCCAGGTTGCCTGGGAGACATGTCCCACAGGCAAATTGAGGGTAAGCGCATGTCACAGGAGGCAGTCCAAGCCCAGGCCAGTCTGGGAGGCGAGTCCTGGAGCTGAGTCTAGGACTGAGGCCAGCGCATGGAGGCAGTGAGGCCTTGTGTTCTGAAGCCAGAGGGTACGGACTCGGTGAGAAGGACTGTAATTTGAGTATTTTTTAAGGATACGTTTTATTCTTATTCTGGACTTTAAATAATGCAAGTACTTTTTAAAACTTTGTATTCCTATGCTAGACTTTTTTTTTTACTCTTTCAATTCTGTAACAAAAGCTTAAAGTATCTGTACCTAAGTACCCAGTACCTAAGATGGTACTAAAGCAGCGACATTACAAACTTTTCACTGCATTCATTGGAGTGCGTGCCACAATAAAGGCTATTGTATTCTATTCTATTCATCCCTGAATGCTCTTAAGAAAGTGGCAGACCTGCCTTCTTGAATGGTTGCAGCCCTTGGATGTGGGCTCATTCAGAGAGTTGTTGGGAAGAATGTTTAAAGATTTTTGCCAAACCATCTTCACCTGCTTTCTTAATGACCTTTCTCTCTATTGTTACTTCAAATGTGCAGACGTTCACTGATCGAACAATGTTCAATACCAATCCATACCCCTCAGATATGGAAGCAGTCCATGCCCTGTCTCCCCGAACCTTGTCACTGGAACATACCTTGTGAAGATGAATTAAGGTTGCTGTGTCTCGTGTTTGTGAGTTTGGTGAGGGAAGGTGCCAATTATTAAGGTGGGATGATGGCCTGCAATCCAGCAATGTTATTAGGCCTTGGATTAGGCTACTACCTCCACAACTGTGCTGCCATTTAATAGAGCTATTTCTGATTGGCCGGCAGCTGGCTTTTCTGTTCTGAGATCGTTGATCCCTTCCTGAAAAGAAGCGAGACCAGGCACCTGCAGCTATCCAGCTGGCAGCCAAGATCCCACCGCTTCCATATCTGAGGAGTATGGATCGGTATTGAACATTGTTCGATCGCTGACTTACCTTAAAAGCCAATTTTAACTGAAGTGGTGAGAGCTTCTTCTGTAAATATCAGCTATCAAGTAACAAATGAGATCAATTCCAAACAGCAAAGTCATCTTGCCCAAGAGCAGAACACACTGGCACACGATTAGCATGCAACAAACATAATGAACTACTGAAGACACTATAGGTACAAATAAAAACAATAACCAGTCCTTGCAAAGTAAAACTGCACTCCACTGTATAGCTGCTTCTTGTCCAAATAAAAATTTGCCGCTACTTTCTCACTCCAGTTAACTTCATATCCAAACTCATCATAGTCAATTAGAATCAAATCTAAATTCATAAAAGAACAAAAACCTTGCATTCTTATGCTGTATCAAATTCTCCAGCCATCTTGGTGGTATACAGTCAATAGGGATGATTAAAGGTGGAATTTTTCCTTTTATGACACCCAGTGGGTTGTGGTGGGGGGAGGGGAGTGTGTAATGTGGTGACTAAGTGGCCGCCACCACCCACCCCTGCCACCCCGTACTGAGCGAATTCGCCTGATCACGTGCCAATGAGCATATTAAAAACTGACAAATGCATGTGGATAAATTTTGTTAACCTATCACAGGCTTTGACATTGGTGCCATTGTCACCAGAAGTTTATGGATCCGAAAGACCATCGGTTAGCAACTCACAGGATCCAGCGTGAGAAGGTGATTTCTATCATGTTGTGGGAGAAGGTTAAAGGAATGGGGTGTTAATGCAGCAGTGTGGGTTTTAGAATTCATCCATCATTTTTTTCCATCGTGACTTTGATCAGCTTATGATTGGACAAATGGACCACCCTCACCTCGAACCAGATAGGTAAGTCACCCTGGTCTCCCATACAAGAAACTAGCTATCTTTCTCACCTTGGAAACATACGTGATCATTTCCTCAAAGTGTCGATGATAGCACGCGTGGTCACCTTAGAATGGCTATGAGCTTCCAAAAATCAGGCCAACCTTGCCAGGGCTACGCCTCCAGTAGTCTGAGAGATCAACTGTCTAAATGGAGCACCCAATTCTGAGTCTTTGAAATAGGCGTGATAGGAAAGGGCCCAAGGATTGGGCCTAATGATTCTGGAAGATCATAGGAAACTTGGGGATTAGGTAACAGATGGAGTTTTGCAGGATCAAAAGGAGTCTGTGGGATTGGAGGCCAAAGGTGGAGGCCAAGAATTAAGGAAAGTTGGTTCAGAGGAAGGATGCAGAGTGGAAAATTGCACATTGTGGTGTGGGGAATGGAGGACACAATGGAGACCAAGGAACTAAAATAATAGCATCTAGTGGTAGACTGATTAGGGCTTAAGGAAGAGAAAGAGGAAATTAATTTGCTCTGGGTGTAGGGACCAACATTTCCCAAAGAACCAGGAGCAGCTACAAGTTGGTGAATTCCATTAGAACTGAGAGAAGAACAGCCTGTAAAGGGGTAATTGAAACCCAGGTAAACGGTGCAAAATTATTTCAATTGATGTTAGTACGAAGAACCATCTGTCTGTATTTTCTCCTGTTTTCATTTCCAGTGTGTGGACCATGGACTTCCATTGGATTGTCCATATTAATGGACAAAGTACTCTAGTGGTTTGGACAATGGCTGACCAGCAAACATTTCTGCTGTTATTAATGGCCATCAGATACATTGTGATAATTTTTAGGCTGATAATTAACCTTTTTTATCCATGTTATAAATCTAACATCTATGACCAACAAGTCCTGGCACCAGACTTGAAGCCAGAGGTGGGTCTCTACCATTGCACAACAAGACCTCTTAACAGGGAATTAAATAGTGAAAAAACAGTAACTCACCAGAAGAAACTAGGAAAGGGAAAGGAAATTTCTTGAACCAAAGGTCACTAGGGTGGGGACAAATCATCACGTGGTCATTGAAGTACTGAGTATAATTTCATTACAAAGGGAACTGGACATATGTTTAAAAAGGAGGAACACAAAATTATCTTTGGTGTTGTGGAGAATGTGATTATGGGAGAGATTCGAAGAGATGAAAATGGGGGAGGCGATGGCCTTGTATTATCGCTGGACTGTTAATGCAGAGACCCAGATAACATTCTGGGAACCCAGAGTTGAATCCCATCACAGCAGATGGTGAAATTTGAATTTGATAAAATATCTGGAATTAAGGACCTGATGATGACCATGAAACTATTGTTTATTGTTGGAAAAACCCGTCTGGTTCACTAATATCCTTTAGTGGAAGGAAACTGCCATCCTTACCTGGTCTGACCTACATGTGACTCTAGACCCACAGCAATGTGGTTTACTCTTAACTGCCCTTTGGGCACTTAGGGATGGGCAATAAATGCTGCCTGGTCAGCGACGCCCTCATCCCATGAATGAATAAAGGAAAAAAAAACTGGAGAGCCTTATTGTACCTTGGGAAGCAAGGGAGATGAATATCAGCAGGTTATAGGATTAATAATAATACCAATTTACCCAGTGGGTTATCGTCTAGTTGTTAATTATAATGGGAAATTGACATCCGTCAGTATCATTGTTGCTTATCAGAGCAATTTAAATAAATTATCATCCGTGGTTACTTGTGCAATTAAACTTCCTCCCACCTCTGGTTTCCTTCTACAAATTACACTCCAAGTTAATAACTATTGTCTCAACCACAACCGCCATCATCATCATCGCACCCCTCCTCCGCACCCCCATTCACCCAGCATTTTATCTCTGGGGCCACCTCTGGTACCCCCTCTTCCCCTACCTCCAGTTTCTCCTCTTCCCTATCCTGGGTTTGGCTCTTTACCTGCAATTGGGTGGCTTCCAGGTCCTTGGAACTCATTCCACATGAACTGATGGCACAAAAGCACAGGCAAGAATACTCAATTACTAAGGATCCAAACTCTGAGATGAATGCAACACAAATAGAAGTCATGTATTCAGAAAATGGGACATGATAAGCAACAGGCCTCATATGGGTAGCACTAATATACTGTTTGTATGATACAATATGTGTTACATACTTAATGTGATCTATAGAACCTGGTGAAATAGAAGTCTAGTGCTATATATAATAAAAGCTAAAATTTGAAACAAAGCTGAGGCATTCTGTACATGCACTGGCTGGAGGTTGAGCAACTGTGAGGAAAAAGCTTTTCACCCACAAGGTGGTGGGAATCTGGAAACCTCTGCCTGTAAGAGTTGTGATGCCATATACGAGTAATTGACTCGTGCTGGACAATGGGATCAGATTAGTTAGGTGGCTGTTTTTGACTGGTACAGACTCATTTGGCTGAAAGGCCTTGTTCTGTGCTGTAACCCTCTCTATGACTCAATGCCATGTGGCTAGAATGCCTCCATTTAGTAATATAAGTGCAAAATACAGCAGATGCAGGAAATGTAAAGTTAAAACAGAAAATGTTGTAAATACTCAAGAGGTCTGGTAGCATTTGTGGAGTGTTAAGCAAAGTTAATGTTTGTGTTTGCAACTTTGCATCAGAACCAAAATTTCAACCCTCTTTTTCTCTTTGCAAATATTATCTGGCCTGTTAATTATTTCTAGCATTTTCTATTTTGATGTCTCTACCTGGATAGGTGGAAGAATATAAGCAATATGCTAAAAATAGGAAGAACAAACTGGGAGCAGAATCTATCGCTGAGCCGATGTTACCTTTTATTGATTATAGCAAGAGGTTTTACAGATACAGTTATTGTCTATGCAGAAGGAAAGGTAAAGATTGTGTTGATTAAGTAAAATTGGGCCTTGAATCACTTTCTGTCTCCCTGCTTGTGGAGATCAGCTTACTCAGTTCTATGTATATTTCTGTGCTCTGTCAGCACTTCATAGCATTTCTACAGTACTGCATGTCATGAGAGACCTTGAGCTCCAGCAAACACTTATTGTGAAGTAATTATTTGGAATTAAGTCTGATAGAAACCACCGTAGCGCATTCATTGAAAGGATGCCAGCAAGCAGTGCAGGGACTGAAATCCCATTGGGATGATAGAAGTCACTGAGATTCAGAATCAGATTGCAATGAATAAAATTCAGAAATAAAATTTCATTAGAGTACTTACAGATCAGAAATTTATAATACATGAAATCATGCATGTCCCAAATGACAGTGTGGCTCTGATCTTCCTCTTAGACAGAATGTACTTATTACGCCTTTATCCAATCTTGCTGTTCATAGAAGGTCACATGCTACAGCGCTCTGTGCTATTTTAATTTTAGTTTGAAGGTCGTGTATACATTCCTTACAGTGAATCCAGCTGTGATTTCTGATAGACTTCCTGGCTTTACCTACTTACCCTTCTGCCTCGTTTTCTGATCTTTGTCACACTCCCCATGTTTTGGAATATTAATATTGACATTTGCTCCATATTCAAATCAAAAAGCCCCTTGTTCGAGAAAGTTGGAATAATGTTTTCTTTGTTACTGGAAGTGTATTTAATATTGTCTTTGCCATTCAGAATCGTTGGACCAGAATTTTTGGGTGAGGGAAGGGGGTGGGAGAGGCTTCTTCCAGGGCTGCAACTTCTTCTGGCAACAGCCAATGAAGTGGCTACTGCTGGGGTTGCCATCACGATTAAAGATGGCCACCTGCTGATGAGTGATGTTGGTCAATGAAAAGGCTTGTCGGCCTCAACACTACTACAGCTAGTGGTGGTCACTAGATGCACCTTGAGATAACTTACTTTGAGGAATCTAAGTGCAGTCCCAGGGATGGGGGTGAAATCCTGGGGCCCGGCAGGTGCTCTTTAGTAGGAGAGGGTCATTGTGGGCAGGCATCACTGTTGCCTGTTGGTGGGGTGGGAGCTCTTACCACTGGGAGGGCACTCTGAGGGCCAAAGAGTTTCTGAAAAAGACGGTCCATGTTGCGGAAGCCACCTGGAGCTTGCCAGGGTGTATCTTGTGGGTTCCCTATTCTGCTGGCAAAATTCCTGCAGAGCCCCTTGATTGGTCACTGTGGCTGGGTTGTTTTGCACCTTTTCCTGTTGCTGACAAGATGGCAAGACAATGGGAAGATGATAAGCATGACACTCACTATCTTCCCTTGGCATTTTTCTCAGCAGTCCTTCCCCCGCAGTCCAAGCCCAAGTGGCAATTAACAGCGTATGGTCTGTGTCTTGCCACTTTGCTTTCACCAGCAAGGTTGTTTTTATGTGGCTGTCAACTTTAGGTCACATGGGATTCAAGGTGAGCTTGCCAATTGGCTTAATGGCGGGAGACCGAGAGTAATGGTGGAGGAATCTTGGGAACCGTGCAGCCCAATGGTATCAATGTGGACTTCACAAGCTTCAAAATCTCCCTGCCCCCGACCGCATCCCAAAACCAGCCCAGCTCATCCCTGCCTCCCTAACCTGTCCGTCCTTTCTCCCACCTATCCACTCCTCCCACCTCAACCCCCACCCCCACCTCCTATCTACCAGCCTCATCCCCACCTCCTTGACCAGTCCGTCTTCCCTGGACTGACCAACCCCCACCCTAACTCCCCACCTCCACTCACCTTTACTGGCTACATCCCCGCCTCCTTGACCTGTCTGTCTCCTCTCCACTTATCTGCTCCTTTATCCATCTTCCATCCGCCTCCCCCTCTCTCTCTCTTTATTTCAGAATCCCCTTCCCCTCCCCCATTTCTGAAGAAGGGTCCAGACCCAAAACATCAGCTTTCCTGCTCCTCTGATGCTGCTTGGCCTGCTGTGTTCATCCAGCTCTATGCCTTGTTATCTCAGATTCTCCAGCATTGGCAGTTCCTACTACCTCATAATGGTGGAGGGTTGCTTTTCGGACTGGAGGCCTGTGACCAGCGGTGTTCCACAGGGATTGGTCTGGGTCCTCTTTTGTTTGTCATTTATATAAATGATTTGGATGAGAATGTAGAAGGCATGGTTGGTAAGTTTGTGGTTGACACCAAAATTGGTGACATTGTAGACAATGAAGAAGGCTTTCCAAGATTACAAAGGGGTCTTGATCAAATGGAACAATAGGCTGAGAAATGGAGTTCAATCTGGATAAATGTGAGGTTTTGCATTTAGGTGAAACAAACAAGGGTAGGGCTTCTACAATTAATGTTAGGGCCTTGGTAGTGTGGTTGAAAAGAGGGACCTAGGGGTGCAGGTATATAATTCTTTAAAGGTTGCATTGCATATAGACAGTATGATTAAAAATGCATTTGGCACGCTTGCCTTCATTGCTCAGTCCTTTGAGTATAGGAGTTGCGACATTATGTTTGAGTTTGTACAGAACATTGATGAGGCCTCTTCTGAAATACTGTGTCCAGTTCTGGTCGCCCAGTTATAGCAAGGATATTATCAAGCTGGAGAGGGTTCAGAAGAGATTTACCAGGATGTTGCCAGGTATGGAAGGTTCAAGTTATAAGAAAAGGCTGGATAGACTGGGACTTTTATCACTGGAGCGTAGGATGTTGCGAGGTGACCTGATAGAAGTTTATACAATAATGAGAGGTATAAGTAGAGTTGATGGTAATTATCTTTTCCCTAAGATGGGGAATTTCAAGACTAGGGGCCACATTTATAAGGTGAGAGGAGAGAGATTTAAAAAATGTATACGTGGCAAATTTTTTACACAGAGGATGGTTTGCGTGTAGAATGAACTCCCTGAGGAAGTGGTGGATGTGGATACAATTGCAACATTTAAAATACATTTGGATGGATATAGGTTTGGAGGGATATGGGCCAGGAGCAGGCAGGTGGGACTAGTTTAGTTTGGGATTATGTTTGGCATGAGACTAGTTGGACCGAAGGGTCTGTTTCTGTGCTGCATGACTCTATGACTGGAGCTTTGATTGTAAATAAGATAATATACCAACATTCCTTAGGACTTATTAGTTATAATGGGATTACATTGACTGTTCTTCTGCACCTCACTTGAATTTGCATGCTCACTTGGAGAGTATTAAACTGTATTGCTGATGAAAGTATCAATGTCTGGAAACCTGCACCTTTATCCATCTTTTGGACACTGGGCACAGTGGCTCCCTCCCTTCTTGTCTCCCTCCCTACTGAACTCTAGAGATGATCCTCCCCATGTAGTAAGAAAGTCCTCAACAGTTGATAAGAGCCCCACCAATGGGACCTGCCACTGCTCCGATGTTGTCTATTTTACATTTAGCTCACTCAGCATTTTGGCCTTTGACACCTGGTTCACATCCAGTCTGGCTTCAAATGTTGAAACACTAACTACAGAGAATCCCTATAGCTTGCTCTGTCTCTCTGCTATAATTTATCCTGTTGGATAGTTCACAGGGCTGAAAGCTTTGGAATACAGAAGACCCACTCATGTTTTTTGTTGAGTTTCCGTCAGTTCCCCATTGGGTGTAAAGCCGGAGACTGAAACCCCAAAGAGGCTTTGGAGCTGACATTTCTATGTACAGAAACAGTTGAATAATTGCAATCAATATGATGCACGGGGACTGGTAATGCCAATGGTGTTGAGATCCACTTTCATCCCACCTTCTGTAGTTTATTCCTTTAATGGTAGAGTCAGTTTCATTTGGGAACTCATTGGAAGCTATTTCTGACCTATCAACAGTCACTCCAGCTGGCAATAATAATATGTTAGAAAAGCATCCCATACTATATCAGTCTGTATTTTCAAACGTAAAACAATAGCCTTTCCTCAGAGCATTCTGTGAAACTGCTGATCTGTCCTGAATTGTGGGTTCTTGGCTCCTCTTCTTGAGGAACTGGGTTGAAATCTAATTTTTCACCTGACGTTTGCACCCAAGAAAATAAATTAGTCTCGAAATTCTACAACAGTTCTTCCAATGTTCCACCATAAATTAATCAAGAAACAAGTGGCACACCCTGTGAAAAGCCATTTTCAGCA